TCACCCACCGTTAAAACAGGGAGGCACTTGCCTAAGCGCCAGTGGCAGTTATTAGACGAGTAAAATCCATTTTCACGAATTTCGAAGAGGTTTTTGATGCACCCATTGGCTTAATAGGTGGTTGTAACCACCATGGACAAAAAATATCATGAAAGGATGCGTCTTTTGGGCAAATACATCGAATCAAGACACATTTTGAAGAGATCCCAAGGCACCTCTTGGAAAACTATAAAAAAAGAAGAGAGGACTTAAAAAAGAGTCCTAAAAATATTGGCAAGTTTTGAAAGTTCTTTCCTGGAGAGTTAGTTCAGAGAGATTTTCAGGAACCACTTTTTATTTACTTTATCATTTTTGTTATTTTGTTTTGAGTGGTTATAAAAGAGAAGAGATTCAAGGGAATTTCAAGAGTTTGGTGGAAGACTTAAGATAAGTTTTATCTTTTTATTTTAGACTACTTTTAGTTTTAATTCAGACTTGTTGTTGGTTTGACAATGATTTCTTCTTTTAAAATAAAATGTGATTTTATTTTCTCCATGGATTCTGAGTAGTTTTCTTTATCTTTCTTCTTAAAATGATAAGTAATTAAGTTTTGGATGGAAGTTGTGGAGAGTATTGATCTTTAATGTTGGAAGAAGATGATTTAAATCCATGCACTTCATTTACTTTTTGATTTGGCCAATCCAAATGTTAAAATTTATTGTGAGAACATGTAAGAACCGATATGATATTGTCTTAGTCAACAATTGGAAAGAATCACATGAGGTTGTATGAATGAGAATGTAGTTGATATGATTGAGTGCAAATAAATAGGGAAATATTCATTGATGGGTTTAGAGTTAGAGGACTTTAAAGTGACAGGTTAAAGCCCCAACTTGGTTTTTTTTTAGGTTCTGAAACGAGAATGTTAGCCCCTAGGTGGAGGGAATCGAGGGAACTCTAGAGTGAGAGTTAGTATCTTCCCTGCCTAGCCAATATTCAGAACTATTCAAACTTTAAATTAG